GGCTATGTCGGTCATCTGCTTAAGATCCCATAACTAATAATAAACTGCAAAGCTTAAAGATACTGTAAGCTTGTTCTGCGTAGATTGGACCAAAGATTAATACATTTAAAAATAGAAGATAGCCTTCGTCCCCCTGTCCTCGTTACCATTGGTGCTGTATAGCGCCCGAAGCGTCGGGGTTTAAAAAAAATTAAACATGATAGAATTCGTAAAATTAGTTTCATATATGTAATATTCGTGTGTAATGTATGTGTTAAATGAGTTTATTGCTCGTAATTTTCAAAATGATAAAACGAAGCTTAAAACAATCTGCAACCGCGTATAGTAGATAATATTCATCTATATTATGCCACTGTTTGTATTTTTTTTACTCCGGCATAGGGGAGATTAAAGACCTATATCCTTACGTTACAATTTGGTTACAGTACTACATTATACAAAATTTTAACGAAGTGTAAAACAGTAATACAAATCTTTTAATGCATTTGAATTTCAATGAAGATGAATGCTCACTTATTTCCGATATTTATCAAGATTTTCTCCGAATTTTGATACTGCGGATTTCGAGGTTGAAAGAACTTGTGAATTAATCTACTTTATTAAATTATTTTATATTCCTGAAATTTACGTAAAAACTAGTTTCATTTAAATGCGGAGGTGGTGTTCGCGTTATCATAAGAAATCATTATGTCAAAAGAAATGCTTATAAGCTATATTCGTCAGCATCAATAACAGCTTTTTCAAGTTTATTACTGGACACATAACTTTTCAAGAATTCTTCATGTACAACATGGAAAATTTCCTAATACTCATCACGCTGGGTATGTGGATCGGTAAGCTCAGATCTGATACCCTTGTACTTGAAATCTAGCTCCCAATTGTGTTTAGATTGAATTTTTAGTTGGTACCGTCAAAGCCTCGTTTCCACTTCTTCTAGGTACTCAAGCATATTGGTCAACTTGGCAATAAGAAGATTGGATTGATTGTTAGAGACTGCCTACAGACATTAAGTTTGCTCTTTGTCCTTATAGGTAAATGCAATCAAGGTTATATAATAATATAGAACATAAATAAATAATTAAGGGAAAAAGATAACATATTACCGTTGTTGCTATTTTATCTAAGACGAATATCTTCTATTCAGGTGCAATAAAATAGGAATTTCTGGTAGTTGTTTTGATTATGTACATTTAACGTCTTATTCAATGTTGCTTGACGTAGGACAGATGTAGGAATTACTGCAAGACGTGCAAAACACTTATCAATTATGACTAGAACAACTATCCTCAAAAGTTTTTGATATACTTAGTAACTGTAACTTATGAAAAGGTCCTTACCCTAGCTTACTACGTCATTTTCGCAGTTTATATGATTAACGATCCAATAATTTCTGATAAGGTATTTAACGAAGCTACACAAAGGAAATACTTTTCCCTAAAATTCATAGCCCTCTTTGAATCTCTAAAAATCATCATGAGAACATGAGCAGATAGTCTTTTAAGTCGTAATTTATATTGAAATGTTTTTAATTTTCTAAATTCTTACTAAAATCAAAAGAAGTTGTATTTATGTTTTGTTATTCTCTACGTTACTAGCTTCTATTGCAGTGAATATATTCGAATCCTCGTAAACTAAAGTGAGCTAGAGACGGAGCTCATTCATGCGTCTTCCTGCCTTAACAAATCTTTTGTAACTTTTTTGAAATTTTCGAATCATGCCATGTATAAAAAGCCAGATCAAGCGTAAAGATTGTAAAATGCTTGCGTGTTGTTTGTTACTGAGAAGTATTTTATTATTTATAAAATACTTCAAATCTATCTGAGTCAAAGTTAAAATATTTAATTCAGAATTAGCCTTTAAGAATCAATCGCTTTCTCTTTAACTAGACCTACTGAAACAGATCTTGTAGGAACAAACAGCAAAAATTAAGAAGATTCCTTTCTTCCAGTTTAATATTCATAAACACGTGAGGAGACTTTAAGAAGGCCCATTATGTCCATGCATTTTTATCCTTCAAATTATCATCTACCAGTATCTATAATATTCTTTTCATTAGAATGTTTTGGTCTGCTCTCACTGTAAATTTTTCATTTTGTGGCTAAATTTCAACGAATATTTAATCACGTTTTCATAATGCAATAACGCGTCTAATTAGAATTTGGAGTCCATATTATAAATTCTGGAATGATACGAGATCAAAAATTGAAGGAGGCTTAATACTTCGACATGTATTAAAACACGGATTTACAAAAATTGGACCTATTCAAACAACTTCCAAATGGAAAGTTAAAATTTTCTTTAAGCAAGGTTGAAAATTTCATCTTATGTTTGCCGATATCTGTCTAATAATCGATTAAATACGTGTAAAAGATGTTTTAAATTGGTAAAAAAATGTAAAAAATGCATACCTTTCTCTATACGACGCAAAATTTGATCAAAATCAAAAGTCGTTGGGTGTATTTGAGCAGTTTAGGAGAGGGCTATGTTCAACAATGGACTGTCAAAGGAATTTTGGTGTTAAAGATATATTTTAAAACACAACAAGATAGGTAAATGTAAGTAATGTACTATACAACCATATACCAATCAACGAACTAAATATGTACTTTTTTATTGCTTCCCTGTAGTGGATGTATAAGAGGATTCACTATCCCTGTTATCCCGTAGTAGGAATCCCGTAAGATGTGACAAAGGGTAATTGAAACAAGATATAGCCAGCAGCTTATTCCTAAAAACTCTAAATAATAAAAAACTGCGGTTGCCAACCCGTTTGTCGAGCAACTTTGGCAAAAACAAACCCTATGATACAATCTATGGGTAAGGTCCATAGAATACTATAATACACAATAGAATGGCTGTCAACCTTATTTTACACGACGATAGGCGTCGCCGGGAGCACATATACAAGCAATAACGTCGTATATCACTACTACAAACCCGATTCGCTGTGTTGACAGACAGATTTTAATACATATGTATTTGTAAATAGCGTGCAATTTGGCATTTTCTAAATAATTTGCATGGGAAAATTGGAAACGATTGTAACGTCAAAACACATCGCGTGTTGAAGTTTATACGTGTGAATTATAATTTAGAGAGAATTAAGCTATACGGGTTCCGCGCACTCCCCCGTTCTATTATCTATGTATTCTATGGTAAGGTCCATGTCCATAAGCGGATTTTGCAAAGTTTATAATGAATTAATGAAAGCTCTTTAATGTGATACAATTTCAAAAAAAAAAACGGACTTTGATATGTCAAACTTTTATGAATTATCTGAAGTTGATGCGCGATATAGACTTGATTACTTTTTCTGCTTCGCGAACTAATAAAAGTTGATCAGCAGACCGGCAAGTGGTTAGTCTCGTTTTTAATTAAAACTGAACACTTCATATAGGTCGGATGCAAGGAATTTATTGATAGATTGCTGCATTCTTTTCATGTCTTATTTCTATACATATAAAAATCTGTAGAAAAATTATTTGTTCACGATTCACGCAAAAACTACTTGACGGATTTCCATAAAATTTGGTGTGTAGGCATTAAATAATGGCGTATAGCATATAGGCAACTTTTTATCCGCTTACGAAAGAATAAAAAAGAAGGGCTATGTTTTTATTTTTCATTTTTTAATGTTTGGTTCTGGTGGTTCTATTAGTCATAAAGAGTATTTCGCTATACGTAAAGTAAGTCTATAGAAAAGTGTGTGTATGAAAATGGAACTCATCGCGTAACCAACTAGAAAGGGCGGAACAACGTCTGTCGGGTCAGCTAGTTATAATAAGTACCTTCTTATTAAAATGTAGGCTTGTATTATAGAAGAGTTATTACATTCACATATAAAAGAAAAAAGGGAAAGGTGTTGATATTTCTTGCTTTAGTATCTATTAATCTTGTTTACCTTTGATAAATCTACTTTGAAACCTCTCAGCGCTGTAGTCTTAATGCACTTGGTGTCACCGTTGTCATTAAGAGGAAATTTTGATGTTGATGAAAATTTAAAAAAAAATACCATTATGTTATTATACAAATTTCACCTTACCTAATTAAGAGGGGCACATACATGCAATTAAGGTGAATATACATGAACTAGCACATTTTTTATATTTGCCACACTATAGCGATGGCTGTGCGTAAAATGTTAACGCCAGTAGAAAGGTATCGTTGGACCGTACATGCATGCAAGTTGTAAAGAGATGATCATTACAACGTAAGCTTGGTGATATGTGTTAGATGATCTTAATCTAAGTAACAGTGACATGTGTTAGATGATCTAATCTAAGTGACAGACAATTCGCAACTTAATCTAAGAAACGATTGCTATTTGTTACAGTAATTTATTATTAAATAATTAATTATATAGTTAAACATTAGAAAATCTTTGTTTTTTTCTTCTACTCCAAGCATAACATAACTATTGTTCATATGTTACCGGTCAACATCACAATGTTGCGCAATAGCACTCTGTGAAAAAACTTGGCTTATGGTTAGCCTTTTTTTGTTTTCCAAGTCCAGAAATATGAATGTACGCCACCGCCGTCGTCGTCATCGCCATCGCCACTCGAACGCCGCCGCACGATTGCTGCCACATTGACTGCGTAGTGATGGATTTCGTGCGATGATAATGATGTTAATTGCACGATATTCCGTTTTAGGTGTTTTATTGACAACAAACGCAGCATTTATACTATCAAAAGTATAAGAAAGAATCTGCACAGCGGTACCATATTTTTGCTCGAGGTTTTTGGGCGAGTGTTTTCACATAATAATAATAATAATAATAAAAATGGCGTAGGGAATTGACGACCCCATCGCCCGCTGACGTAACAGTTAAGTGACAAAACTGCTACGTCAACGCAGTCAGTCAGCGCCTTGCGAGAGGTGTGAGCGCCGTGCCTCGGCAGAATTCAGGGTGCAAAGGCCCGTTTGTGCTTATGGCCGTCCACGATACGGTGCCGGGCCTGGGCGTCTCCCGTTAATGGACGCCCATATTATGGATGATGGAGAAAAAGATAGTGCGCAAAGGGCCGCTGCCTGGAGGTCGCCAGGGCGCGTCTGGAGCTGGCGCTGGACGCGACAGCATGCGGGCCGCCAGCCGAGCGCGGGGTGTTGCAAGACCACCTAGCAGCCCCCCGCATCCATCATCCCCACCAGAAGGCTTGGTGTCGGCTGGGTCTTCTCGGACTCAGCAAGCGGCACCCGCCGCTGGTGGAGCACGTCGCATGCGTTGGTCTAAATCAATGAATGAAAACGCACTGCGGGCGTATTTTAGGGCAAAAGGGGAAGAAACTGGATGTTTGGCGTATCGGGCTCGGATGCATCGCTTTTTTGCAGAGCTGGAGCCATCTCTATCCGTCACTGAGCAAAACCTGGCAGACCGAGTTAGGATCATCCTGCGCTCCAACATATTTGGTGACGCCGAACTCGAGCGACTACGACGTGAGGCTATTCCTTCATCGAATGGAAATGCTACGGCTGGGAATGCGGCGCCACTAGATGCGCAACAAACTGCATATGTGGATGCTGCCGTCAACATTCCATTTGTGGCTAATTCAGACGATGATGGAATAGTCTCCCACGAACTAGAGAAAATGAGGAGCATATTGGAAGAGTCGATGCTGGAAACGCGCAGCATGCCTCTCGAAAATCGACCGCGACTTCCCCGCATACCCCTTAGCAAGCGAAATCGGGCTGTCGTGCGGGCTCTTAACCCAATGCTGGTGACCTATTTGGAAGCCAGCCGGGACCTTTGCGAGACGGATTCAATTCTTTTTGGCGCCGCACTGGCAGTATGCCGTATTATTGGCGCCAAACTTCCCGTGGCTGGACGTGCTACTCAAAAAAGTAGCGCCATCCCAGCCTGGAGAAAAAGAATTGAGGACCGTATCGCAAAGGCAAGGGCCCTTATCGGCAGACTGACAAGCTTCAGGTCGGGTAATAATAGACCGAGGATTATGCGCACCGTTAGGATGGCGTTTGCTGGGACAAATATCAGTTTGTTCCAGCCGGATATCACGCAAAAACTAACGGAGCGCATAGATGACCTGAAGCAAAAAATCGCTGCTTGGGGGAAGCGGATTCGACGATTTAGCGAGAGGTCAAGGCGGTTCAACCAGAATCGTCTCTTCCAGAGTGATCAGAAGAGGCTCTATAAATCATTGGAGCGACCAGAGGTATGTGGAGCGGGCCCAGGACCGGATCAGGCTGACACTGTCGCATTTTGGCGTGGCCTGTGGTCAGAGCCCGTAAACCACAGCGAGGGCCCTTGGATGGAAGTTGTGGCGAGCCAGAGTGCAAGTGTTACGCCTATGGACCCCGTCACCATAACGCCTGAAGACGTGGCTGAGGCGGTCCGTAGGGCCCCGAACTGGAAAAGTCCGGGGCTCGACGGGCTGCATCATTACTGGCTGAAGGGGTTCGTAGTGTGTCACGCTGTGCTCGCCCGACAATTTCAAGAGGCTCTCGATCAGAAGTCGCTCCCGAGCCTCTTCACTACTGGGATCACTCATTTGGTTCCTAAAGATCAGGATACCACAGACCCGAGCAAATACCGCCCCATCACGTGTCTACCCACCATATATAAGACACTGACATCCATTTTGAGCGCGAGAATCACTCGTCACCTGGAGCTAAATCAGGTGATGTCACGCGCTCAAAATGGATGCCGGGGCGGTGGTCGTGGAACCAAGGAACCACTCCTCATTGACGCGGTCATTGGCAAAGTGGTGAAACGCAACCGTCGGAATTTCTCCGCCGCCTGGATAGACTACAGAAAGGCATTCGACTCGGTGCCCCATACATGGCTAAAGAGAGTCCTCCAGCTGTACAAAATTGACTGTACAGTTGGAGACTTCCTCGAGCAGTGTATGGGGCAGTGGAGTACGATCCTTTGCTATCTGGGCGAGCGGATGATGGCTGCGGAGAACCACATAAGGATAAGAAGGGGTATCTTCCAGGGCGATTGTCTGAGTCCAATCTGGTTTTGCCTCTCCCTGAACCCTCTCAGTACTTTACTGGAGGGCTCCGGGAGGGGATTTCAGCTTCGGAAAGGAGGTACAAAAGTGACCCACCTTTTCTATATGGATGACCTCAAGTTATTCGCCTCCAGTCGCTCCCATCTTATGGAATTGCTAAACATCACTTGTGAATTTAGCAATTCTATTGGAATGGAGCTGGGAACGGATAAGTGTGCGGTCCTCCATGTTGAAAGGGGGAGGGTTGCTAACTCTGAGGGCATAGACTTATCTATGCCCGTCAACTTAAGGACCCTTTCCGAGGCTGAAACATACCGATACCTGGGTATGTCACAGAACATCGGTATCGATGAGGCTGGTATGAAACAGTCAGTTTGCGACGTGTTTTATGCACGCTTGACCAAAGTGCTTAACAGCCTTTTGTCCGGTGTGAATAAGACACACGCATATAACGGCTGGGTCATGCCTGTCCTCATGTATACCTTTGGCATACTCAGGTGGACTCAGACTGAACTTAACGCCCTGGATAGAAAAGTCCGCACTACCATGACGTCCCACAGGATGCATCATCCGAGATCGTCGGTAATGAGGCTGTACTTGCCGCGAAAGCATGGTGGGCGTGGCTTCTTGAGCGCGCTCACCATGCATAATCGCGAAGTGTGCAGCCTCCGTAATTACTTCCTGGCGAGATCGGATGATCCATTCTATAAGGACGTCATTTCTAGTGATAAAGGATTTACCCCTCTATCCTTAGCCAACGAGCAATGGCAAGACCCGGCAGTGCAGACAATTTCCGACCGGGAGAACGTATGGAAGGAGAAGGAGCTCCACGGGAGGTTCTACAAGGCTCTACATGAGCCTTTCGTAGACACAGTAGCCTCCCTCCACTGGCTACGCTTTGGTGATCTCTTCGGGGGAAACCGAGGGTTTTGTCTGTGCAATACAGGATCAGGTTATTAAGACCAACAACTATCGGAGATACATCCTAAAGGATGGCACCGTGGACATCTGTCGAGCTTGTCGCCATCCCGGTGAGTCACTTAGGCATGTCATCTCCGGTTGTTCGGCGCTTTCTAACTCTGAGTACTTGCACAGGCACAACCTAGTAGCCAGAATTCTTCACCAGGAGCTCGCTCTGAAATACGGTCTCGTGGATCGGAAATTGCCGTATTACAAGTACTTGCCGGAAGCCGTGCTCGAAAATGATCGCGCCAGGCTCTATTGGGACCGGGCCATCATCACAGACAGGACTATTCTTGCGAATAAGCCTGATATTGTGCTGATGGACCGGGCACAGTCAAGGATATTTTTGGTCGACATTACCATTCCGTATGACGAGAACCTCGTGAAAGCCGAAACAGACAAGCAAACAAAATATCTGGACCTGGCTCACGAGGTGACGGACATGTGGGGTGGTCTGCCGACCGAAATTATTCCTGTAGTCGTCTCTGCAAACGGGCTAATCCCAGTCAGCCTCTCGGGTCATCTGAGGCGACTGGGACTACGTGGCGGACCGCTCCGGGCTCAAATGCAGAAGGCGGTGCTCCTCGATACCGCCCGCATCGTCCGCCGGTTTCTTTCCCTTTCCCCCTAACCCTCGGCCGTTTGGTCTCCCCTGCCGAGGGCCTCCATCTGGTTGGGCTTTTATTTATTTATGTATTTTTATATTTATTTTATGTTATTGATATATATGTATATTTATCTTTTCATTTTCATTTATAATTATATATTTATAGAACCCAACCAGATGAGAAAACTATATAGATACCCCACAATAATAATAATAGTCTTTATTTGCATAAAACATGGTAATTATACAGATGTTTCAGAGTCTTATTATGCCCACATGTTTTGCTATTTTAATATAATATAGCATGCAAATTACATTTAAATCAAGATAACCTATATAGTATTTTAAATTAACAAATTAAACATGTTTATTTAAATTATAATTATGTTTTACAATGTCAAAATCTAGTTTAAAATGTCAGAAATTCATTAGTGTCATAAATATTTTTGTCAATTAACCAATGGTACAATCTTTTTTTAAATACGTTCATATTATGTAGTGTTTTAATTTCATCAGGTATTTTGTTGTATATACGAACACACATTGATAAACAGCATTTACTATATTTAGCTGACTTCGGAACTTCGCTTAGAACCACTCTATTTGGATTTCTTTTAAGCCTAGGATTAATATCAGATGACTTTTTAAATAAATATGTATGCTGTTTTACAAATTTACCTATCTCAAAAATATATAACGAGGGCATAGTTAGTAAAGACAGATTCCTGAACATTGGCTTACAGGATTCTCTAGTTGGTATACCACATATCGTCCTTATACACTTCTTTTGTGCGATAAATGCCCTACGCCAATCTATGCTATTGCCCCACATTATTATACCATATCGAAGTATAGATTCAATATACGCCCGATAGCATAATAGGGCCGTTTTTTTATTAGTTACCTTTTTTATGGTACGTAGTGCATACACAAAACGATTAATTCTATGACATAGGTCATCCATATGTATTTTCCAGTCTAAATTTCGATCTATAATTACACCAAGAAATTTAATTTGTTCTATTTCCTTAATTTTATTGATATTTAGACAAGAATTAGTTTTTATTTTATTAAAATGTATGTAATTTGATTTATCTAGGTTTATTTTCATATTGTTTCTATGCAGCCAATTAGTTATATTATCGATTGTATCATTTATTTCCTTTTCATGATTATGTAATGAATTACTGTTTTTTTTGAGATGTTACAACTACGGAAATATCGTCCGCATACAATATACATTTGTGATTTGTCGCCAGAGTTATATCATTTATGTATAAAAGAAATAATACCGGCCCTAAAACACTACCTTGAGGAACACCATATTTTTTTCTCTGTACTTAGATGAGAAGGATAATATTTAATTTTTTACCATTTTATCAATAACGACACACTGCCGTCGATTTGATAAATAAGATGAAATCCACTCTAGAGCTATCCCTCTAATTCCAACCAAATCTAATTTACTTAAAAGAAAACCATGTGTGACAAAGTCAAAGGCTTTACTTAAATCAAAGAATAATCCTGTTGTTAGTAGGTTATTATTTATGCTAGAAATTATTGTTTTTATAAGATTAAAAGTTGCTAGCGTTGTAGATTTCTTTTTCTGGAAGGCATATTGTTCTGTTTTGATTATGTTAAACCTCTCAGAAAATTCCATTAATCTCTTATAAAAACATTTCTTAAAAACTTTTGATATTATGGGTATAAGAGTAATCGGTCGATAATTGTTGATATCGTCTTTTTTATCTTTTTTGTGCAATGGTTTTACAATTGAGATTTTTAAATTATCGGGAAATTTTCCTGTCAAAAATGATAAATTAATTAAATAAGTCATAATGTCAACAAGTTCGCATACATTCAAGCTTTAATTATTATGGTATTAATTCCGTCGTAACCTTCCGAGGCAGTGTTATTTACGGACATGATCTCTTTACTCACCTCATCTTTCGACATGGGTTTAAGAAACATTGAGTTTGATAGTGATATTGTATTTTTAGGTGTAATATTTTCCATGCTATCATTATTAGTTATAATATAATTAGTCATTTCAATAAAATAGTCATTAAAAGCGGTTGCTATATCGTAAGGGTTCGTTAGGTTTTTATCATTTAGTTTTAGCTCCTTAATATTATCTAATTTTGTATTTGAAATTTCTTTTTTTATTACGGACCATGTTGCTCTGCATTTATTTTTACTCTTACTTATAAATTTTATATTACAATTCTTCTTGGATTGGTAGATACATTTTTTCAATAAATAAGAATATTTTTTATAAGTATCCTTATTTATTTTAGTTTTATTTTTATAGTATCGATACTGCAGTGCTCTTTTTGTTCTACAACTATTTTTCAAACCTTTACTAATCCAACTATTTTGATTACTATTTTGTATTAGTATTTTTATTCTTGGGAAACATAGGTTATAAAATAAGCAAAATAAATCATAAAAATTATTAAATGCAATGTTCAAGTCGGTTTCCAAATATGTTTCACACCATGATAGATTATTTAGACATTCCTTGAATTTCCGAACATTACTTAAATTATATTCCCTTTTGTATTTAAAACATATCTTGTTTATTGATTTATTTTGTTGAACCTGGAATCTTAATAACTGAGCTGTATCATGGTCTGACAGAAACAAAGGCAATACTGTTGCAGAAGCATTCTCTATATTACTTAGAATATGGTCTATACATGTCTCCTTTCTAGTTGGAACATTAATATGAATTTAAGACAGTAATTAAGACATAAATCATGAAGATAAGTGTTGGCTTTTCCTGGTTTAAGAGTATTAATATTTAAATCACCAGTAATTACAAGTTTAGTATTGGTATTATTGTTTTTAAATATTTCGCGTAACATCCCGTCTAACTTGTCCAAAAACAGAATTGCGTCTGTAGAGGGAGTCCTATAGAGACAAATTATTAGCAAATTATAAAGAGGAATCTCAATACCACAAACCTCAAATAACTTTTGCGTTGCTAAGCTATTTATCTTATTTAATTTTTTATATGCAATATCTTTCTTCACTAAAATACATGTACCGCCTCTAGACTCATCCCTACAGAACGAACTGGCTAATTCATAATTATTAATGTTTAGGTATTTTTCATGATCAGTACGCAAGAAAGTTTCTGAAAGACATATTACATCTGGGGCGTTTCCTGCCTTATCTAGTTCATCCAATGTTAACATTAGTACATCTTGTTTTGGTAATATACTAGCGATATTTTGATGTAATATTTTTAAAAGCATCTTATTTGTAGTATTCTTATTCACGAAAAAGATAGTTTTTATTTAATAGTTTAAAGTAATACGGTATTGTACCTTTAGGCGCGGTATTTATATCATTAAAATTATTAATATTAGTCGCTCCCGAAACAGTTACACTCGATTGCATTCGAGCAAAATAATAGGGAATTGTTCCTTTTTTATATTTGGAGCTGCTGGATTTATCAGATAATAATATCGATTTATTATTACAGCGTAATATAAACTTTTTTAATTGCTTGGCACTTAGAAATATGTTCTTATAATCAATATAGTCAATTACGGACACATGTACAGGTTCTATTTATATATTTTTATATAGGATAGGGGGCAAACGAGCATGTGGCTCATCTGATCGTAAGTGGCTACCGCCGCCCATGAACAACTGCAATACCAGGGTCTTTTGTGGATTGAACTGGACTAGATTTAGTCGCCCCCAGTCCGAAGCTTTTATCAACAAAGTCTCGACTTCAGACATAAGTAAGTATTCAGTGATTATCGTCAATAAAAACCAGAGCCACTTACTTTCATCGATAGTAGTTCGATTATGAAATTTTAATTAATGACATATTTATGATAAATAAATCGAGCAAAATGATAACTTCTGTCTTCTATACGTTCACTTATGATAAAACAAGAAGGCTTAAAGTTAGCTCTTGCCAAGTTACCAATTGCATCTCTGAAGTTTTGAAGAACAAAGTTTTACATTCATTTATTGCAAGCTGAGCAAAAGGAAATGCTTAATGGTTTTCTTGTGGTCGTGTCATAAATAAAAGCCGAGCTTTGTCGCCGACTTAAAATCGGCAGACATTTCGTGACTTCTAAATGACTGTTATTGCGAATTTGTTGACTGTGCAAACTTAATAACTTTATGTGTTTGAATTTAATAGCGAAAATTTTTCTAAAATTGAAATTATACAAAAAAGGCCCTTGCTATGATAATGTTACGAGCTTGGGGTTCGTAACAATTAAAAACTGCCGATAGAATTACCAAAATTGACACTTTAATTACCGAACACTTATTACAACTTAAAACACACTAATAATAAAACACAATTTTACTACTGATAACTTTAGTTCGCAATTATATAGCTTTGAAGTAGTCGCTTTTATTGCCAATTCAATACTGACTCGGTCGCGGTCCGTACCGGCCTTATATAGGGTCTCTTCTTCTGAAACATCTAGAATGTTCGAGTACATACCGATCCCGACTGATTAGGTGTAGAAAGTGCTTGTTTAGGCCTTATCGGGACTTTAGAAATAAAATGAGTGGACTGTATTAACAATAGGTTTAATGCCGTAAAACCTCTAAACAAACTTATTATAAATTGAAAAATAAAGTGCCCGTCTGCTACCGCGTCTCGCCGCTGAGTGAGGTACAGAAGCGCCCGCGCCGCCGTGAGGCCAGCGACCGGTCCGCGCCCCCACGCGTCCATCATTTTGGCCGAGGCGCGATGACGTGTGCCGACATATTCTCCGGGTTGAAGAGACGTCTTCAATCTTCAATTGGTAGAGGGCAGATGCAGTTGACAGCACGACGAATGATACCTCGCTTCGTCTTCAACTCAGCCACTCGCGTGACTCCGTCTACGCCGGGATAGGTCGTCATGACCCGGCCCAGGGACCAGAGCAGCGGTGGTGTTGTTTTGTCCTTGATAAGAACTAAAGATCCCGGCTTCACTTCACCTCTGGAATGAAACCACTTGGATTTGGCCTGCAGCAGAGAGATGTATTCATTATGAAAGCGGCTCTAGAAATGCTGTCTGATGTACTGTGTTCTCCTCCAGCGATCCAGTCGCGTAATGTTGGCATCAGTCACCTGGGAATGTCGTCCAATCAGGAAATGAGCGGGATTAAGTGCCGAAAACTCGTTAGGGTCTGAAGAGAGAGGAGTAAGAGAGCGCGAATTCAAGACCGCCTCTATGTGCGTAAGACAAGTAGCCATCTCCTCAAAGGTAAAATGGGTAATCTTTAAGAGTCCTTTTAAATGATGCTTGCAAGATTTAATAGCAGCCTCAGCTAGTGAATTAAAATGTGGGCTGTAAGCAGGCGTGAAAATAAATTCGATACCCTGTTGTGCTATTTCAGGTGCAACACTCGATGAGTGTAAGAACCTATGCATTTCATTTGATGTGCCTACGAAATTTGTCCCGTTATCGGACGTAATGCTTTGAGGCTTGCCTCGACGCGCCACGAAACGATTTAGAGCGGCCATGTAAGCCTCAGAGGAGAGATCAGTGACGAGCTCCAAATGTACGGCTTTCACTGCAGAGAAAACAAAAATGCAAATATAAGATTTTGTTAGTTTGCAGCCACGACCTCTGCGATTGGCCACCAATACTGGCCCAGCGTAGTCACCATAACAATTTAAAAATGGAAATTCAAGATGAGTTCTTGACTGAGGTAGTTGACCCATTATAGGCTGAACGCTTTGAGCCTTATGTCTGAAACACTTAAGGCATTTATTCACATTTCTGGAAAGGTTTCTACCACCTATAGGCCAATAAGTCTGCCTTATATGTGACAATAGTAATTGAGGACCGGCATGTAGTAGCTCTAAATGTTTCATTTGAAATATAAGCTTAGTAAGTATGTGCTTACTACATATTATTATGGAATGTTTTACACTGAAATCGTAGGGGGGGTTATCGAACCTCCCGCCCACGCAGATGAGGTTATGTTCGTCAATGAACGGAGCTAAAGAAAGAAGCAGAAGTCAGCGTTAAGACCACGGGAAATAAAATCCGCCGGGTTGTCCTTCGACGGTACGTAGCTCCAGGTATGACCACAAGTGCTCTCCTGTATCTCGTTGACTCTATTTCTCACAAAAGGTTTTAATTGGTTGGCTGGAGTAGAGAGCCAACCCAAGACTATGGTTTAGTCACACCAGAATCTACATCGGTGAATGGGTAAAGTTAGCGCTTCCTGAACTTTAGTACACAGCCTGGCACCTAACAAAGCTCCACACAGTTCAAGCCTTGGTATTGTTGACGACTTGATGGGCGCTATACGATTTTTAGAAACGAGAAGTTTTACGCCAATAGATTTACTGTTACTGCGTGACCGAATGTACACACATGCGCCATAAGCTTTTTCGGACGCATCGGTGAAGACGTGTACTTCATGCGTACTTGAGTCTTCACGCAAAACCCAACGAGGAATCTTTAAATTATTTAAAGATGTTATTGTATTTTGGAATGTCGACCAAAGGTTTCTGACCTCGAGCGATACTTCGTCGTCCCGGTCATAGTTGTGTAGCCATAAACGCTGTATGACTATTTTCGCTTCGACAACGCACGGACCTACGAGGCCTAATGGGTCAAAGATCTGACTGATGACTGAGAGGACGTGACGTTTAGTGACTTTAGTGGTTGATTTTATGTTAATAGTATAAGTAAGGGAATCAGAATCGCAGGCCCAATTAAGACCTAAAGTTTTAGATTGAGATGAATTTAAACCCTGCTCATAAAAATGCAACGTCGAGTATTATACGATTCGTTACTGTTTATAATTTGATTTAGAATTTGAGGATGGTTTGATCGCCATTTGCGTAAGTTAAATTTAGCAGAAGATAGAACCGATTGTACCCGTTTTGCAATTGCTACAGTCTCATCTATGGTGTTTCCCCCGCTCAAATAGTCATCCACGTAGAAGTCACGTCGTATGGCCCGCTGGACCTGACTATCCTCAATGTTATCAGCCAGACCTACCAGGCATTTCGTGGCTAAGTAAGGAGCAGAAGCGGTACCATAGGTGACCGTATTTAATGTATAAGTTCTAAGAGGTTCTGGAGGATCAAACCGAAAAATAATTTTTTGTAGAGGACGTTGGACTGGACTTAGCTCAATGGCTCTATACATTTTCTCTACATCACCTGAGACCGCGTATCTATGTTGACGAAAACGTATTAAAATGGAAAATAGATCGTCTTGCACTACGGGACCGACCATCTGTATGTCATTAAGAGACACGCCCGAACTGGTAGAGGCTGATGCGTCGAATACTACGCGTAGTTGAGTAGTGGTACCAGAGCTACGAATAACTCCATGATTGATGGAATGAAATATGTGATCACGGAGTTTTCAGGCGTAGAAGTACAGTCAGAGTCTAAAGTCATATGACCTAAATGCTCATATTCTCTCATAAATTCAAAATATTTAGTTTTAAATGACGGATCGCGCTTAAAATAGCCGCTCCAGGAATAGAAAAGATTTTTTGCGTTTTCATACGAATGCCCTAAAGTGCTAGGGTCCTCTTTTAAGGGCATCGTCACGACAAACCTACCATCATTTTGACGAACGGTGGTTTGGGCAAATAGTTGTTGTGTAAGTGAATGTTTTGACGACACGTTGTCAAGCTCCCAAAATTGAGTTAGGTCTGGAGTGACGTTGGAATGATGGCAAAAGAGTGATGAAACAGAACTAGGTTGATGCGAAATACTACCGGACACAAGCCAACCAAATTTAGTTTCACACAGTTTTGGTAGATGTTTCCCTAAATCTATAGTTCTGCTGCCTAAGACTCTTAAACGTCTCATTGGACCGGACTCATTCAAACACATACAAACATTTCATCAAAGTCGGTCGAACCGTTTCTGAGTTTTAGCGAGACTAACGGACGGCAATTGATTTTTTATATTTAGGGATTATTTGATAAGTAATAAGATATATTTAAGTAAATTACTTAACAAAATATAAATATAGATACACTTTATCAGCCATAAATGTTATTTTATTTTTTGATATAGTCTCACCTTAAAGTGTAGTACTACTACTGATTCATCACCTTCAAGTCTTTGTCCTCTCAAATACTCCTTTAATCTGGTGAAAAAATAGAAGTCACTAGTTACAAGGTCTGGTGAATATAGAGAATGCTCAAGTATTTCAAATCCAGCATCTCGAATTGCAGCCATAGCAACGGCGGCTTTGTAAGCTATGGCGTAACATGAATGGGTCGGTTCAACCAGGAAGGACCACGCTCTCACAGAATACCAGCGTAAAATAGCAGCTTAACGCTGCCGTGTTTCGTATGGTGAGTGTAGAGAACCGGAGGCCCTTTTAACTTGAAACGAGGCATTCCATCTTAGTCCTTACGGGTGACAACGCATCTGCGTTTTGATTCATAATTGAGGATAGATATAGATGAATATTAAAATATAAATAGGTTAACAAAATCCTTAACAAAATGTTGGTGCATCACATTGCAATGTTTTAGGAGATTTTCACGTCAGCTTTGGCTAAAAGACAATCAATGACGATAGTATAGCAAATTCTCGAATTCCCTAAGCGGACTAAACAACTTGAGGCCTATACGAGTATCACCATCTTAGCACTTGTTTCTTTGTTTCCACTTCCAATATTTACATGCGTAGACATTTAATATAGAAAAAAGCACCATCATATTATTTAAAAGTATGGTATGGCAGGCGGTAAACTATAAAATGACTTTCAATACGAATTACATGTAATCCATATTGAATAAAAATTATTTTCTTCATTTCATTTTACAGAAGCCACTCAGCTCTACCAGCCGGTAGTTTAGTGTAGCAACCAAATCTCTATAAGTATTAGAGCGTAAAACAACTTACGCAACATATCGCATATCTCGATATGAAAATTGCTACGGCAACAATGGATACGTTAGAATATAATTCTAAAATATAAGATTTTTTCGGATTATTACTTATAAAAAAATTAAAAGCGACCCAATGAACTTGCCTACCTAAAACAACTAGTGATCCAATAAAACAACACTCAAAAAATAAATAAATCAGGACGTAAAATAAGTAACACCAACGTGTGCCGAACCACCAAAGTAATATAGTTATCAAAAATACCCAAGCCCCACGCTCATCAATATCCAATCGATTCACCAACTTCCTGATGGGTTCAACACTTAGCAAAGAAAAATCTCTCATCGCTCAGGGGAAACACAAAAAC